ACTTACTGGGGGCCAGCAGGTAGTGTGGTCATTAAGTTGGGGGACTCCCACATGGCTGACTGTGGTTCGAGTCCTGGATCTGGTGGTTTGAGAATCACACTGGCACATGTGCATACATGCATACCCAGAATCCCAGGAGGAGAATGGAGGAGAAGAGATTGTGGCATGGCCATCCCCCTGAGGGGTAATTTCTCACTTTCCTTCTTTCTCTGTCACACTCTGTCTCTCTCAGGGGAACACATGCACCCTCTAGCAAAAAACCTAAAATTTTTTTAAAAATTAAGTATTAATACTTTAGTGAGTGACTGAAAGAATCCATGATAAGTTGGATGGGCTGACAAGGCACATGAAAAATACTTAAGACCGTAACTGAAATGACTTCCTACAGAAGACACACCTCTGCTACTGAATGTCTTTCACTTATTGGAGGAAAACCAATGTAGATCATAAATGAATGAGCCAAAACTACAAAGTCACTCACACACACACACACACACACACACACACACACAATTTACCGAAATCTTTATGTCTAAGTAAACGCTGTTCCTTCAAAATCTGCATCTTGGGAGGGCTTTCAAAATTATTTCAATGAGGTACCAGTAGTTGGCATAATGGCTATGTTGCCGGACTCCCATGTAGTCGACTGTGGTTTGAGTTTTAGACCCAGTGGCTTAAACTTACGCCGGGCATGTGTGCGTGCGTGCCCAAGATCCTGAGAAGAAAATGGAGAAGGAATTGCAGTGTGGACATCCCCTCTGAGGGGGTGATTTCTCGCATTCTGTGTCTCTGTCTCTCTCTGTTTTCTGGTGAGCACATGCGTCCTATAGCAAAAACCTCTCTAAATAAATAAATAATTTCAATGACATTCAGTCCTCAAAATGTGTTATGTTAGAATCTCATTTTTGGAATTTGCCTTAATAGTTGGTTTACTTTATGGTCATACCTTATTTCTGACCCAAAGAAGATGACTTAGCTGGATCAGACTTGCTTGCAAATGATTTCTGGTGCTTCCAGAAATCAAATGAACTCTCAAAGGATTAAAAACTTGCTGTCAATTAATTCTAATATTAATATTCAAAGGCTCTGAAGAGAGTACTAAAAATAGAATTCTTTGCATGATCAGGAGAATGGAAGAATCTTTGGATCTACAAGAGGAGATGGAACTTCGAAAGCATGAACTACTTGGGGCAGATCCGGAGACTCGCTCATGTGCCCACCAGACCTTAACCCAGCTGTTCGCCCTATAGCACTGTAGCAGGGACTGGCCAGATGTCCATCAAATCTGCTGCTTCTTTTCCCTGAGCATACAGCTGGCCTGTATTTCCCAGCCCATCTTTCCGTCAGATAGACTGTTTAGTTTTGGCCAATTGAATGTGGGAAGGATTGATACAATTCTTTTCAGCCCTGGCCCCTAAAGTCTCCCTGGGACCCTCCATGTTTTCCTCTGGTGTCTCACCTTCCAGTGGGATACTGAGAATTCAGATGACTCTGAGAAGTAAATGTTCAAGCTACTCAACTGAAGGAACCTAAACCCTGGAATGACTACAAAGTGGAGCTCCTTGCCCTTCTGACATGTATTCCACTGTAACATGAATTAGAAGTAAATTTAGAGTGTCAAATCACGGAGATTCGGGGGCTGTCTGTTACAGCAGCCAGCTCACCTTGACTAATACAGACATACAGTTACATAGAGTTACTCATGCGAGAAGCCACTCAGTAAGAAATCAATACTGCCATTTGGAGCATCTGCCCTTCCAACTTTCAGTTCAGCGTCCATATTCAAAATGAGTGCTGTCTCTGTCTTCAGCCCCTTAACATAAAAGGTGTATGTCACATCTCACGGATCAGTACTCCTCAAGGCCCCTGCTGGCTGCTGGGAGTGACTGCTAATCCTCTGAAATACCGCCCTTGGGGCTCCCCAGAGTGAATCTGGTACATACCACCTGGCCCATTTTTTAAGCCAGTCTTCGCATTAGATGAATCCAGTTTTTTTTTTTCTTTCTTAACAGAATCAGGGAAGTGTGTGTATGTGCATACACATGTGTACAAAGCACACACATATACACACACACTGATGTGTTTTTTTAATAAAATAAAAGAGGAAAAAACTTAGGCCCTCCATTACTTTAGACTACTACGTAGAGACCATTCTGCCTGTAGATGGTGGCTGTGCCCCCTCAGTTCAGGGAGTGGTGGTGAGTGTCCATCCTCCACTTGCCCAAGCCCACCAGAGCTAGGGAGCAAGGAGAGGTGAGGGTGCCAGCCTCCGTGCTAGGAGATGGGCTGCATTCCCGGGAGCACAGCCAACTGGGGACCCCTGGTGCTGGTGGGTCTTTCTTGCCATCTGCTGTGCCTTTTACTTGGATGTGACTCCCCTCCCCTAAGTAGCTCATCAAGAGTAAGGGGTGGGACCAGCAGTTAGCATAATGGTTATGTCGCTGGACTCCCACGTAGTTGACTGCAGTTCGCATCCTGGACCCGGTGGCTTAAAACTCACGCTGGGCGTGTGTGCGTGCCCAAGATCCCGAGAGGAGAATGGAGGAGAAAGGATTGCAGCATGGCCATCCCCCCGGGGGGTGATTTATCACTTTCTGTCTCCCTGTCTCTCTGTCTGTCTGGTGAGCGCACGGGTCCTATAGCAAAAAACCTCTAAAAAATAAAATAAAAAAATAAGAGTAAGAGGTTTTGGCCTCCACTTTCTGCCTCAAGCTGATAAACTGACATCTATTTCTGCTCATGAGTCTCCTCTAAGAGCCCAGGTACATCTCCAAGATGCCAGACGCCGAGCAGTGTCTGGCAAGCATAGGTTTCTGCAATTCCCCTGCCTGTGGAGAAGCGTAAACAGTGTAGAGGTATAGACACCCCACGCAGCCACTGCAGCTGTTCCGCTTCTCTTGGGCATCCTCCTTCTCTCAAGGGGATAAGACATAGCAAGGAGTGGGTCTTCCGGTCTAGAATAAGCCTTAGTTCGAAAGGACTGGAAAGTGGGTTAGGTTTTTTATTGTCTAAGAAAAATTTCCTAGACTCCAGAAAGGGACAAAAAGCAGGGGTAGAGGAGGGAAGTGCTCAAATCAATTGGTTAGGTCAGGTGTGCGCTGGGGAGCAGGTAGGAGGGGCACAGAGTCGAAGTGCCAGTCCAGGGTAATTGTCAGTCCTCCCTGCTCTGCTGTGGGCAGGCTGCAGACTTCCTGCTGTTGGCTAGTGAAGGTCCCCGCTATGCCTGAGGCTCACAGAGGCAGTTAGGCCTCCTGAAGCAGCAGGATTTGACTCTGCTGAGTTTCAGGCTAGCAGGTGCCAAGAAACACTGCGGTTCTCGTGTTGTTGGTTTTTGTCTTTGTCTTGTCCACAGTAATAGACATGGAATCAGCAGAGGTGACAAGAGAACACTCTACGACGCCGCCCCCACCCCCATCTTTACTTCCTCCCCCAAAACGTGAGTGTCATTTTCCTTAGTACTCACGACTTCATCTGGACACAGGTAGCAAAGATCATTTCCACTTTACAGAGGAGGCGATCAAGGCTGAGGAAAGTTCCGAAGGCTCTTCAAAGTCACAGAGCTCATACATGGTTCAAATGGGGTTCAAACATTTTCCTCTCTACATCCCTGAGACTGCGACTCTCTCCCAAGAGCCCACTTGAAGGGAAAAGATAGGAAGAAGAGTTGTTCGGCTGAAGCTGGGTCTGCTCCCTCTTGCTTGGGTCCTTCTGCCTCATTTGGCTCTGTTCACCTGGTTCTCTTGACTAAGAAGCTTTTCCATACCTTTTTATCAACCTGGTTTAAACCTGTTTCCTCCCAGAAGTCTCCTTTCTACCTCTGAAAGGGTGTGTTGAAGCACAGGTGTTCCCCAGCCTCTCAGAAGGTGGGCTTCACGGTTAAGCACTCAGGTGCACGCGATACTCAGGGCTCGCTAACCCTCCTTCCCTGCCCCACTCCTCTCATTCCAACCTCCCCGGGTGCACTGCTCAATAAAGCAGCAGCTCCTAAGCTTTTGACTTCCAGGGAACCCAGGCCTTGAAGACTGGAGCGACGTGGCCATGAGTCAAGGAAAGCAGGCAGCCAACCAAAGCTGTCAGAGGAGAAAACAAATCCCCTCTGAAGGGAGCTCCCCCTGCTGACACCTTGACTTCAGCTCATGGATAATTCCACACTTCTGTCCTCCAGAGCTATAAGAGAATACATTTCTATTATCTGTAAGCCACCCACTTTGTGTAATATGTTACAGCAGCCGCAGGAAACTAGTGCAACTTCTTAAAAGGGGCCTCTGAGATCACCCCATTTGGCCCTTCATGTAATAGTCTGCCTTTTTATGATGCATCTATTTCTCATGTGCCCATTGCTAACTCACTGTTTGTTAGTATTTAACCAAAGCCAGATATTGTGAGCAGTTACCATAGAGGAGATCACATTTCCCAGGACAGAATGTTAAGGTCTAACTGGCTGCTCACCACAGCCTTCCCAGGCCTCATTCCCTCTAAGACTCTTCCATCCAACAGGCCAGTGTTTCTCAATATGTGGTCCAAGGACTGCCCGCAGTGAACCACCTGAGGCATTTGCTAAAGACATCAAGTCCAGGACTCTGCCCTGAACTTACCAAATAAAAGGGGTGAAATGCAGAGGTCTGCACACTGAGCAAACATCCCAGGTGATTCTTGACTCATTGACTTAGGAGAAGAGTCAGACGTGACCCAATGATACTTCCCTCCGCGGATGAGTGGTGAAACCACTGCCCCGGGCCAGGTGCTGAATTTATCTGGGGGAAGCCATTGACACGGCCCCTAGGACTGGATTCTAGTGATGGATGCCAGGCTGAGTTCACAGAGGAACCAAGAATCCCATCTCCTCATGCCATGCATGCTGCGAAATAGCTGCAAGGGTTGTCGGGGAGTTGGGGCCCACACAGACGTTTGAGAACAAGAGTCATCATTAGGCAATTCACAGTAAGTTGACTTTTTAATGAGAAAGAACTTGACTAAACAATAATAGCTTACAAATGCATATACCCTTTGATCTTGCAATTCTACTTTGGGGGATTTGTCCTACAGATATACTTGACCCTGGTACATATATACACGATTATTCACTGCAGAACTGATTGTAATAGCAAAAGGTTGGAGAGAATTCAAATGCAATCACTGTGGAACTAATGATAGCGCTTTCATACAATAAAAATGATGGGGAAATTGTATATATATTGATGTGGAAATGACTCCAAGATAGATCATTAAGGGAAATGGCAGGGTGCAGAACATTGCTTAGTGTGCTACCTTTCATGCATTTAGAAAAAAAGTGATGCAAACCCGAGTTCCTGTTCGCACCATATGCATAAATATGCATGAGAATAGTGGCTACTTCTGGGCCAGGGGATAGGACCTGAGCAGGTGGGGAACAAGGCTGGGAGGAAGACTTTCTCGTTCTGTGATTATGTATTTGTTTATGGTCTCAGGAAAGCTCTTTGTCTCCTAAGCCTCCATTTTCTCCTCTTCCCAAGTCTCTTCTGGTTCCTACAGTCCGTGTCAGGTCCTGAAACCAGAACTTTGGCATGGATTTCCTCTTTAAAATTTTACTCTAATCAGATCATCTACTTGTAAACGTTTTTCAGAGTCATTGTGTTATTTACGTCAACTGTAACTAAACCAAGCCAAGAAGGCCATGAAGGAGGTGTTTTCTCATGCTAGTATGCCCCATAATAAGAAATTTTCACTCTGTGTGTGATTCATTCTTTCTTTATTTTAATGTGGTGTGCAGGGAGTAAAAAGTGAGGGAAAAGGAGACCGTTATTTCTGACAGGGTCCACCATGTTGCAACCCTCCTGCCCCAAGCCTCCCAACTACCAGGATTATAGGCACGCGCAACTGTGCTCTGGGTATTCGGGTTGGTCTGGGAGCCAAACCCAGGCTGCCTGAGTGGCTCCAGCTTCCCAAGCAGTGGCACTATCTGTGCATCACCATGGCTGGGCCTGATTGTACTTCTGGGGGTGGAACCACGTGAGTGTATTCTTTATACAGAAAATAAATAATAGAATAAAATTTAAAAGAAGCATTTATCATAGCCCTCAGAATGGCGTCTCACATGGAGCTCTCCAGGCTGGGTGCCACGTGCAGAAACTGCTGCCATTCCTACCATGACCCTGACTTAGATGTGGTGCTCCAAGCCAGAATGCAGATTTCCACCCTAGCGGCGTTGAGAATGGGCCTCGAATTTCCTACCAAGGAGAAGCAACCCCACATAGTCCCAGAACTGGGTCCACTGTGCTGGGGACAGCTCCTAGACAGGAGGACCCCAGTGCTGCTCCTAGTACTGAGGCATCAGCTGTTCCGGACTCACGAGGGAGGAGTGGTGGTAGCGATCCCGAGTGGCAAAATCTTCATTCTCCTGGGTGAGCTGAGTCATTGCCATGTCAACCCTGGCTGGGGATGGCGCCAAAATGATCTGTTCCTGGGGTGACCGCCAGCTCCTTCAGTGAGAGAGACACAAAGGGTGATGAGATGGAAAGAAGCAGTGAAGACTGACCTGTGGAGGCAAGTCTACTCTGCAGAGAGATCGTTTACAAAAACATTAGTTGTGCTAATTCTAAACATGTATTTAAATGTTAAAATAGAATTGTTGAAAGCTGGATAGACCAGAGTTTGTGAAATCAAAGTATGGGTAATTCTAAGTATCGAGTAAAATAAGAAAAGAGTGCTATTTGCCCTTCTTAAGTGGAAAGTATTAAACTGTACCCACCTGAAAGGAAATAACCCGCAAAGAGAGGGTTTGCCTTCCTGATGCTGCTGTGTTGGGGTGCTGTAGCTTTTTTTTACCTTTTGGTCAGAAGAAGTAATGGAATGGAAAGACTGGAAAACTGAGAAGAGTAGGAGAAAACTTCTTTCTGATTGATTAGAAAGAAAGTCAGGTGAGGAAGGATGTGCAGAACTGAAGCTCACATGTGCAGTTCACACAGCTAAGTAAACCCCAGAGGCTCTTAGATTACCAAGGAGGTCTCAAGACAAAGGGCAAGTCCCCTGATAGAGAGTCCACTGGCACTGGAGGCTCTGCACACAGTGTGAGTTGGAATAAACAGCTAAAAAGGTGTTAGAGATACATAGGGAATGTGCCAGAGGCAGAATGGAACAGCCAGGGTAGCTACAGAAGATAGAATCTGGCACTGCTCTGTCCCTAAAAACTTAGTGGCCTCAGGAAGGCCCTTCACTGCCTTGTGTCTCTTCTTTGTCATTGTCCCAAGTCTCTCCCAGTCCTACAGTCTATGGTAGGTCCTGAAGTCATGACTTAGGCACGGATTTCCTCTTAATGATGTCATCCTAAAAGAATCACCTACTTTTCTAGCAGTAAAGTTCAGTTGTTTAAATAAAAAATGTATCTGAGAATTATACAAAGGTAAAAATCTAATGTTACAAATCTGTGGAACTTAAGCAGAAAACCCCAGCTGACTCTGGCAAAACGTCCTCTCTATTCTAGACGTTCAGATCACGGGACTAAGACATCACAGCCATCTGTTGAGAACATATGTGAATTACATAGTTCGGGGTTTCTGAGAACCGAACTGACTTCTGTAACAGGTGAATGTTCAGAAAGGAAGGTTCAGGCCAGCAGTGGTGGCGCAGTAGTGGCGTGATGCTCCCCGGTGCTGGACCCACATGGGACAGTCCCAGGTGTGCATCTGGAGCTTTTCTCTACACACATAGTTGTCCATGGCCCATGATCTGGGCTGGCTAGGGGTGGGTCACTGTGTGAGGACCCTGTTGGAGATGCCTCTCTTTCTCTCAGAGTGAATAAACTTAAAAAAAAAAAAAAGACTTTCTAGTATATACATATGTATGTGTGTGTGTGTGTGTGTGTGTGTGTGTGCACATGTTAAGAATTATTTAGCTTTATTTAGTTTCAATTTTGTCAGAGAGGGACAGAGTGAGAGAGAGAGAGAGAGAGAGAGAGGGGGAAAGCAAGAAAGGAAGTTGCCAGGTCCAGGACTCAAACCATGGTCAGCCATGTGGAAGTCCAGCTCCCTTAACCACCACACCACCTACTGGCCCCATATATATATATATGTATATATATATATATATGTGTGTGTGTATATATACATATATACACACACACATATATATACACACACACACATATATATTTTAAAATTTATGTATATTTTAAAATTTATTTATATATATTTTAAAGTAAGGTTAGAAAGTGATAAAAATGTCCTAACAGTCAACATATAGGTGGTTTTGTCAATTTCTTTTTCTTTAGGTGAAACCGTTACATTCTTCTGAGTTCAGGAAAATAATATACAATATTTCACTTTTTAACTCTGAGTGTCTTTTTTTTTATGATCAGTTATTTAATTAGGTTCTTGGCAAAAAATTTACAACACCAATTTGTGAGGATAAACTCCATTTGTAATAGATCTCAGGTAGCCCTGGAGTTGAGGAACAGCTTTGATTTTTGATAAAACTTGCAAGTCCATAGGTTTCTGATGAACCTTGCGCTGCTCTGAAATCTCATATTTCTCCTTCTCTGTGTTGAAGATCTCACCTTCCTGGTGTCTGGGCTTCTGCAGCTTCTTTTTCTTGACGTAAGCATTGGTAAAGCGCTTTGGGATTTTTACTTTGCTAATATCAGTTTTTGTGGAGGTGGCAATGACAAATTTCTGGTGTGTTCTATACAGTGGAACTCAATTGAGAATCAGCGGCCCAGTTACAAGTAGCAAGCCACTGCTCAGCTGCTTCAGGCAAACCCCTCTGTGGTGTCCAGTGAGGATGGTCAGAATGGTCCCAGGAGTGATGCTAGCTTGCAGCTTTCTCACATGCTGACTGAAGGGTTTTTTGCTGTGGCTCAACAGCTTTAGAGGCATACCTTTAATAGGATAACACCTAGGCATTTTGTGCAGTTTAACCACCCGGGTACCACCATTCTTGTCTCATCAACTGGTTTTGTGACAGTTGCAAGAACCTTCTCCTATTTCTTTTCGATCCTCGATTTAGTGGCTGAGTGTTTCCTCTTGTGCATGGCCTTCCTGGAGTACATGGCAGACCGGGAGTATCTGCCGGTGCCCTGGACTAGGATGGGGTTTTGGCTGAAATGGGGCTTCCCCTTCTTGGGCTTTGTAGCCTTGGGGTCACCCTTTTTAACCTTGCCACTGACATCAGCCTTCTTGGCTTCAGGTTTCTTCTCATTAGTGTCCTGCTTCGCAGCTCTTTCACCGGCCATCTTGTATAGTGGGAAAGAGAACTCTAGTTCTGAATGCCTTAAGAATCCTCATCCGGACGGTGGCTAATGATTCAGGAAAGAAAGTCTTCTCAAGGTCAGGCTTAACTTTACAGTGACTAGGAACTGGAGGTGTAACAGAAGTGCATAACTAAGTTCTGTCCAAACAATCGTTACTTTAGTTTCGAAGGGCATTTGGGGGGAAAACTATGAAATACAAAACAAAACTACCAATTCCTATTTTTAAGTGAGTCACCATTTCTTGGTCCTTTTGCCTTCCTGAATAAACACCACAAAATCACCCAGCAGCCATGGGGAAGCCTGCAGGTTAGATGACGACTTAGCTATGGCCTCCTCCTTCCACTTCATGGGCCCACAGAGCCGGATGCTTGTTGGGAATGGTGTGGACTGAATTCTATTCTAATCAAAGTTCCTTTCTAAAGATAAACTCCTCCATATACATTCTTCTTTCTACATAGCGCTGCAGTGGCCTCTGAGATGAAATCCCAGGAATCCAGAGTGCAACATAAGGAGTGGCATCCTTTCAAGGCCATTTTTAGGCTTTACCCCCAGAAATGACTAAAAATGTTCTTATAAATCAGACAAGGCCAAATGCTATCACCCACGCACCACTTGTAGCTCTAGCATCTGTAGGTGGTTTCTACAGAGACTATTTCCTCTTGAACTCTACTTTCTTCAGAATGCAGTTACAGGGGGAAATATCTCAGTGCAGATTTCCAAGCTTAGGTCTCAGACTAGATGAGGAACTGAGAGGCTACTGCCCTTCTCAGAGCTCCACACAGGACATCAGCCCAACCCTCCCAAGAAGATGACAAGGGTCCCCTCCACCCCCACGCTCCCTCTCGGGGACCTCAGATCAGGCTTCTCCTTGTTGGTTCCTCCAGCCTTTGTCCCTTTTCCCTCATCGTCCCAAGCTTAGCCCCAAGTTTCCACTTCTTGTGCCAACTTGAATAGATCAGCAACGCTTGTCAAGAGTTGTCTCGAAAGGGATTCTGGGGAGTGCGGAAGTATTATTTAGTGGGTACAGAGCTTCTGGAGATAGATGGTGGTCATTATTGCACAATAAGGATTCTGGACTTCCATCTGGGAGCAGTGAGAAAGGGTTCCATGATCTAATAGCAATGCCTGGGTATAGGAGATGAAAATATTGGCAAGAACAACCCAAACATCTAGAGTTTCAAACAAACCAACAAAATAGAATCAAATAAACACTTCATTTGGGTTTTCCCTGCCTGCAGCTTTGGCTCCTTACTGATATCGAAAGGAGAGAGAAGGGTGGAAGGAATTCTCCAGAATCCTGAGGCCTTAAATGTGAGGAAGAATTGGCACTGCAAGAATGAAGGAGGTGAGATTAGGGCACATGCTAAGTATTGCCTCCTCTATAAGGTCTTCCCTGTTTCTCAGGAGAAGTTTACTGCTTTTCCCCATGTTTCTAAGCATGGAAGTCCCACAGAACTCCTCCAAGATCTCTGCTTCATTTCTGTACGTGGCCTCTGCACTGAGCCAACACAGTCCCATCAATGGTCTCTACCTTGAGGTGGAAGAATGTGGTTCTGAGTTTTACGCGTCCCTGAGGCTTTAATTTCGTGTGTGATTATGTATGAATGGTAATGCGTCTTAGATTGCGAACTCACTGAGAGCAGCTCTCTTGATTTATTGCCGCAGCAATCAGATTCCAAATAAAGCCCTTGCGCAGGATGACTGAGGATAAGAAGGGTGGAGGGCCTGAGTCAGAGGAAGCTTCTGAGGAGCTGAGGCCAGGAAGCAGGCTGTGGTGGAGGGCAGCAAGGAGCCAAGTTGGAGTCTCCTCGAAGGTCCCATACCACGTTCCGACCTGAGCCCAGCAAGGAGTGGGACACCCTTAGCGCCTCCCAGGGTTCTGGGATACTCATCTTTACTGAGACTGGCCCCAAATTGGCACACACCTGCAGGAGGGGATCAGAAGAGACCACATCCATCGGAAAAAGCTGAAGTTGGAGGCAGATCCTGCATGGAAGACATACATATAAATACTTATTTAAAAAATCTACATATGCATCTAGAATCCCAGTTTTAATAGGGTGACTATATACCCAACACACAGACATGCACAAACACACACACACAGAATTAGCACAAAGATTTTTTTCCTTTTTAGTCTAACCAAACAAAATTCACTGCAATACTCACTAATAGCAGCCTACTGCGTGCCTTGTATCGTGTGTAGTTTCCAAAAATTTATTTCTAAACTCCAAAATCCCAGGAAGGAAACTGAGTAAAGTGCTATAGAGAGAAAAACAGAATAGTTGCTAACTTCAGTCTTAGGGATTTTTCTTTTTTAAAGTTTTTTTGCCATAGGGCACATACCTTGGAGAGGCAGAGAGCAGGAAAGTAAGAAATCACACCCCCCGGGGAGAGGGGGGCAGATGAGGTGGCCCCACCACAATCCCTTCTTCTCTATTCTCCTCGAACCTTGAGCAGGCATGCACATGCACCTAACATGAGTTTCAAGCTGTCAGATCCAGAACCTGAATCATGGTTCGCCACGTGGGAGCCCAACACCTCAACTGCTGTTGGCCTCTCAGTCACTTGGATTTTAAAGTTTCTGGATCATATATTTTTTCCTTAAATTTACACTGATATGTGGTGAATACATGCTATAAAATCCCTATTTACTGCTTGAAAATAGGAAATATGCCTTTTTATCCTTGTAACTTTCACATTACCTCTCAGGATCAGACCCTTAAGAAGTTTTCAACAGGTCTCAAGTAAATCAAATAGCCTAGCATGTGGAATGTTAGAGCCGAAGTTTGAAGTGAGGTAGCCGTCAATATGGCTATTGGACACTGAGTCGAATAGAGTTTATTAATCTTTTTATTCAAAGGTGAGTTTATAAAGGAGATCAGGCAGTGGTAGTGATAAAATATATCACACTGAGGCTGAGCCTCAGTTCCAGGTCAAATCTGGAGACTTCCCTGAGTTAGCTGTGCACACAGGAGCCCAGGACCCAGGACTCGCTGAACCTGGGGAGAGACAGAAGTCTTGGGAGCTGGTTAGAGGTGCTATCTCTCTGTCACCTTCTGTCTTTCTCTCAATCTTTCTTGCTCATAGAAGAAAGAAATAAACAAACTTAAAAAAAAAAAAGTGGGCTTATAGAAACCCATATCGCCTTTGGTATGGATTTAAAAGGATATAGAAACACAGTAAATGGATGTAAATACCAGATACAGTGTGTGTGAAAGAGAAGGGGCTGAGGAAGGACGTTTAGAAGAAAAATAGAGAGGCAAAGCATTAATGGGACAAAGAAACGTGGTATTATCTGTTGAAGATAGTTTATAGTTTTATCAACTGGACTAGGAAGAAATGTTCACATGTTGTAATACTCACTTTGTAAGCTAAATAATGTGATTGAATGTATAAAAGATAATGAAATAGAAAAGTAAATAAAAAATGAAATAAAAATAAACATAAAAATAAAAACCATCTTACATCATACAGTATATCTAACTTTAGAAAAACAAATCAAATGTAATTTGAGAAAATGCTTTTCTAAATTATGTATTCATACACATGGTCCGAATTGATTACTTAGGTAATGTTCACTATATGGTCAGGAAGCTGGCATTATTTTAAGAAGCTTATGTTAGAAACTTGACAGATGTCAACAGTAGGAGACTGGTAATGTCTGTTTACTCAGTATCATTTAGTGTTCTTCTGGTTGAAAGGAGAACACATTTTAGATTTGCATTAATGCCTGCAGTTGCAAGGAGAAGACTCCTAATGTATTTTGAGGTTGTCAGAAGGAAGAAAATGAACATAAATATTTTATTAATTGGTCCTACTTATGAGTGATCATTTAGATGCTAAATTTTAGATGGACATTGGCCATTTCTTTTTAATTTAAAATTTTTTCTTTGTCTTTCTTTTAAAAAATTTGCTATAGGGTATGTGAGCTCATCAGAGAGAGAGGAGGAGAGAGAAAGAGAGAAAGAGAGAGAGAAAGTGAGAAATCACGCCCTACAGGGAAAGGCCATGCTGCAATCCCTTCTACATTCTCCTCTCAGGATTCTGGGCACATGTGCACAGGTGCCTGGCATGATTTTTCAAGCTGCCAGGTCTGAGACACAAACTGCACAGTTGGCCATGTGGGATCCAGCCATCTTAACTGTTTTGCTGCCCAGCTGCCCGCACCCCCCTAATTAATTAATTAATTAACATCACCTAATTAATCAATTCAGATCATGTGTATGAATACATCATTTAGAAAAGCATTTTCTCAAATTACATTTGATTTGTTTTTCTAAAGTTAGATATACTGTATGATATAAGATTTTTTATGTTTATGTTTATTTTTATTTTTTTAATTTTTTATTTACTTTTTTTATTTCATTATCTTTTATACATTCAATCACATTATTTAGCTTACAAAGTGAGTATTACAACATGTGAACATTTCTCCCTAGTCCAGTTGATAAAACTATAAACTATCTTCAACAGATAATACCACATTTCTTCGTCCCATTAATGCTTTGCCTCTCTATTTTTCTTCTAATGAGAGAGAAGAGCATCCTCCACAGGATCTGGTCATGCCTCTGTCCACTTCCTCCAGTCCTGCCCATCAGATCTTGGGCACCTGAGCATGTCTCCAGCCTGTTCCAGGCTGCTCAGGACGGGGATTCGAACCACAGTCACCATGAGCAATCTTGCTTCTCTTGAGCTGTGCACTCCTACTGCGCCACAGAGCTGTCACCGAAAGTTGGTTTTACTCTT